GAAAAACTGTCACCTCAGAGTGTTATATTATTTTTTTATTATCGCTATTATGCAGTGTGGAAGTAGCATTTTACCGTAGCTGGTCTCATACAGCATCATAACATGATCACATTTCACAAGAAAAATCTAAACCTGCAAACAAACACAGAGACCGAGGTGAGAGTCTTGTGTGAAACCAAAAGTCACATAATGTATGTAACGTTCATCGTACTTACACTGCAAAAACTAAAATCTTAGTAAGATTAATTATCTTAACTGAAGGCAAAATATACTTGTTTTTTGTCTGACAAGATATTTCTTCTTACCAGGTGGCTTTTATTTTAGAGAATTTCACTTGTTTCAAGTTTTTTGGCCTTAAGTAGCAAGTGAATATTCTTGTTCTGTTGGCAGATCATTTTGCTTATTTTAAGTAAGATTTCCCCCATTTTAATGCTTTTATTTCTTGTTTTTGAGAGCTCAGTTTTTGCAGTGTAGCTACATAGTAATCCTAACCCAAATCTTGATCTTTCCTAAAACTAAGTAGTTTGGTACTTAAACATAACCAAATTGTGATCGCTTCACAATGTTTTATTTGCAGTCTTTGCCTGACAGCTCTCTCTTGTCTATGATTGGTCAGTTTGCTTGCAGGAGGAGGAGGGAACCGACGTACTGCCAACGTGAAGGCGCACGGCTTCGCCAACCTCTTCATTCTGGATAAGAAGGACCTGGCAGAGATCTTGGTGCACTACCCAGAGTCCCAGAAACTGCTCCGCAAGAAGGCCAAGTATGTCCTGATCCCAAAGTGCTGCAGTTTTACACTACAACACAGCTGCAGCTGACTGCAAAAAGGGGGGTTTGTTAGGCAACTAGTGGAAAACACACTGCAGCACTACAATAAATACACTGAACAAAATTATAAATGCAATACTTTTGTTTTTGCCCTCATTCATCATGAGCTGAATTCAAAGATCTAAGACTTTCTCTATGTACACAAAAGGCCTATTTCTCTCAAATATTGTTCACACATCTGTCAGAATCTGTTAGTGAGCACTTCTCCTTTGCTGAGATAACCCATCCACCTAACAGGTGTGGCATTCAAGATGCTGATCAGACAGCATAGGGATTGCACAAGTGTGCCTTAGGCTGGCCACAATAAAAGGCCACTCCAGAATGTGCAGTTTCACTGTATTGGGGTCCGGAAACCAGTCAGTATCTGGTGTGACCACCATTTGCCTCACACAGTACAACACATCTAACTCCTCACAGAGTTGATCAGGTTGTTGATTGTGGCCTGTGGATTGTTGGTCCACTCCTCTTCAATGGCTGTGCGAAGTTGCAGTCAGGTCGAGATCCCAATGAGGACGACGAGCGTGCAGATGAGCTTCCCTGAGACGGTTCCTGACAGTTTGTGCAGAAACTCTTTGGTTATGCAAACCGATTGTTGCAGCAGCTGTCCGGGTGGCTGGTCTCAGACCATCTTGGAGGTGAAGATGCTGGATGTGGAGGTCCTGGTCTGGTGTGGTTACATGTGGTCTGCGTAAGGCCAGGTTGGATGTACTGCCAAATTCTCTGAAACGCCTTTGAAACGGCTTATGGGAGAGAAATGAACATTGAATTCACAGGCAACAGCTTTGGTGGACATTCCTGCAGTCAGCATGCCAACTGCACGCTCTGTGGCATTGTACTGTGTGATGGTAATGAACATTTTGGAGTGGCCTATTATTGTGGCCAGCTTAAGGCACACCTGTGCAATCACCATGCTGTCTGATCAGCATCTTGATATGCCACATGGATTATCTCGGCAAAGTGCTCACTAACAGATTTTGACATATGTGTGAACAATATTTGAGAGAAATAGGCCTTTTGTGTACAGATACTAAGTCTTAGATCAAAACAAAAGTGTTGCATATATAATTTTGTTCAGTGTATATACTTTCTCTACAGCATGCTAATACATTTGTGACCGCTCAATACACAGGAACAATAATATTTTAAACAAACACAGTGAAGCTGTAGTAGTTGTAAAATCAAGCATCAGTGCTGCCAAAACTGCGTTTTATAATAACAGAAGTAGCAGTGCCACTGACTCAAGGAAATTATTTTTGACTTTTAAAGCGCTACTAAATCCTCCTCCACCTCCACCACCCACAAACTTGTCTGCTGATACCTTTGCTGCCTTCTTCACAGGCAAAGTGGAGGCTATAACTAGCCAATTCTCTCAAACACTCAAACTCAACCATTGTAGCAGTCCTACTACATCTTTTCCTCTGCCCTCCCAGGTCAGTGGTTGTTCACTCTCCTCGTTTACTCCTCTCACAGAGAGCGAAGTAACTCCTGACCCGTAGCCGTCCCACTACATGCCCACTGAACCCGATTCCTATGAATCTCCTCCAAGCCATATCTCCTACCGTGGTCCAGACAATCACTCATCTGATAAATACTTCTCTGGCTTCAGGAACCTTCCCGACACTTTCTAAAGGTCTCAGATTACACCCTTACTCAAAAAGCCCTCACTTGACCCAACTCAAGTTGAGAACTATTGACCAGTGTCTCTTCTACCATTTTTATCCAAAACTATTGAACAGACAGTATTCAAACAGGTCTCAGAATTCCTCTCAGGGAATGACCTCCTAGATCCATATCAGTCTGGTTTTAAGAGTGCCCACTCTACTGAAACGGCTCTACTGTCTGTAACAGAAGTCCTAAGGTCAGCTAAAGCTGCAGCCCAATCCTCGGTTCTGATCCTGCTTGACCTATCAGCTGCCTTTGACACAGTCAACCACAGGATCCTGCTATCCGCTCTCTCAGCAATGGGCATCTCGAGTAAAGCACTCCTGTGGTTCGAATCCTACCTCTCGGGGTGTTCCGACAATGTTTTGTGGCAAGGACAATTATCCCCCTCCCACTGCCTCTCCACAGGGGTACCCCAAGGCTCAGTGCTTCGGCCCCTTCTCTTCTCAATTTACACCACCTCACTGGGCCGATCATTTGCTCGCACGGCTTCTCTTACCACTGCTACGCAGACGACACGCAACTCTACCTATCCTTCCCGCCAGGCGATCCCACCGTCTCGGCACGGATCACAGACTGTCTCTCGGACATATCTGCATGGATGAAGTCTTGCCACCTTCAACTAAACCTCTCTAAGACGGAACTCTTGGTTATTCCTGCCAAGCAATCTATCCACCATAACATCAAACTACAAATTGACTCCGCAACCATCACTCCAACCAGGGTGGTGAGAAACTTGGGTGTCATGATTGATGACCAGCTGTCCTTTTCAGACCATGTTGCTGCTGTCTGTCAGTCGTGCCACTTTGCTCTATACAACATAAGTAAAATCAGGCCCTACCTCACTCAGTACGCCACCCAGCTTCTGGTACAGGCCACGGTTATCTCTCGCCTCGACTACTGCAATGCATCTGGTTTTTAATCAGCCCAAAAGGACTCATGTCACTCCATTACTCAGTGACCTCCACTGGCTCCCCATGGCCTCCAGAATCAAATTCAAGTCACTAATGCTTGCATACAGAGTGACTACTGGGTCTGCACCCATCTACCTAAACCCCATAATACAAACTTACGTTCCTTCTCAGCCGCTACGCTCCTCCAACAAACGCCATCCCTTCACACAAAGCAATCCCAGTCCCAGCTATTCTCATCTGTGACACCACGATGGTGGAACGAGCTACCACACGCCATCAGAGCAGGGACCCCATTGATGTGATATGTACTATGAGCTCTTACTAGTATTTATTGCTGCTCTTACTAGTATGTGTTGTCAGATCTGTATTTGATGCTCTGTTGATGCTTGTATGTTGTTCCTTAAATGTAAGTCGCTTTGGATAAAAGAGTAAATGTAAAATGAACAGAAGAGATCAAACCAGGAGAAATACTAAATGTCATGATGGTGCAGTGGTTAGCCCTGTCGCCTCACAACAGGAAGGTTCTGGGTCTGAACCTCGGTTGTCCCGGCCTTTCTTTGTGGAGTTTGCATCTTCCCCCGGTGTCGGCCTGGACTCTCTTCGGGTGCTCTGAATTCCTCCAAAGTCCAAAGACATGCAGGTTAACTGGTGACTAATTAAATTAAATTGGCCTGAGTGGTTGTTCACCCGATGTCAGCTGGGTCTGAAGTCTGAAAGAACAAAATACCAACCAATTAAAAAGACAAACACGGTAGTGTCTTTAAAGAAGGCAGCAGCAGCTGAGTGAGCGAGCTAACATGGGCAAAGCAGCACTGGTTGTCTCAGTCCTAAAGGGAAATAAGAAGTATTCTAATAAATGTGAAGGCTTTAAGCCGAAAAGTAACTAACACGCCCACAATCAGTACTTTATATCTCAGCCCCTGACAGTGTCCAGCCTGTTGACACAGTTACACAGTGATCAGACCTTCCCCGAGGTATTTATCTCCTGTCTAGACATTTGATTTATCTGGCTGCAGTTCAGTGCACGTGAGGCCCTGAAGTGGGCGTGAACATTTCACCTGCCGGCTCCAGAAACCTGGAACCGTCCTGGCTTTGGATGTAAATGCAGCGTCTGATTGTGTTCATGCCGTTGAGTCTGATTGGCTGTTTACTTGAACATTGCTTAATGCCCACCTGATTAGTTTCATCGGCCACTGGGCTTGCTTGCTCTTTTATTCTTCTCTGTGCGTCTTCCTCGTCGCCTTCCTCCCGTCCTGAACAGGATTAGTCTCGGCTCTAATCTTCCAGGTGCAGACAGTGAGAGAATCGGGTCAGGCCAGTGGAGCGATCCTCCTGCTGAGCTTCATGCTCTCAGTCAGATCATGGTGCTGCAGCAGGGTGGATGGCTGTGCTGGAGGTGCTGCAGGAGTTGGTACGGGACCTGCGGGGTTTTTATGGTGTTTGTGGGTCTAGTTTTCTTTTTTATCCAAGCAAAGTTTTGTATGTTTTTTAGTTTGTTTGGCTGTTTAAGAAAAAGAAAAGGATGTTTATACTCAGTGAAAAAAGTATATTTTCTGAATCAGCACCATAAATGTTCCTGAGCTCTGACAGCTGGTGTGTTTGTTCTGTATGTGTCTCTGTGTTTTTGCGCAGGACGATGCTGACAAAGGATAAGAAGCCAGACGTGAAGGATGAAGGTAAAGCGGCGGCGCCGGTCATCCCACCCAGACCGGACACCCCCAAAATGTTCAAGGCGGCTCTGAAGGTGACGGAGATGGCGGGGATGGAAGGAACCTTCACCAAACTGGCGAAAAGCTACAAACCCTTTGAAGGCACAGCAGAGGTACGACACCAGCACTTATTGACACATGTTACTCCACTGATCGACAGCTGGTGGCAGTGAGGAGCAGAGAAACTATTCTCCAGCAAAACAGATTCTCATGTCAGGTTCAGTTGACCGCAAGTCACCTGCTAAATTCAATTTGTAAGGAAAAGGAATGTTTATCTGTACAGTTCAGCAACAAAGCAATTAAAAGTGCTTTACATAAAACAAAAAAGCAACATAGGGAAATATAAAAAACAAGAGTCTAATAGAAATTTTAAACGTATTAATTTACCCGGTCGAGTCACATTTGGTGCCATGTGCTCAGGCAGTGAACGGACACTTGACTAATCAAGATCAGTTTTCTGGATAAAGAAACAAATTCAATACCATCAGTATGAAATGAAATAATCCAACTTGAAACCAGGTAATCAAAACAGAGAAGGAAAATCCAAAAGACATGGACGAAGACCGAAGAGAAATATACAGAAAATTAGGACAGAACAGATGAAAGTTTAAATTATCTCCACAGTTTTAGATATAAGCAAAGAGATCGTTCACGTTGAAAGATTCTCCCTCTCTTTTATAACTCACGCTGGTCTCTGAGGATGTTGTGACCTTAAGACAGTTGTTAAGTCATTTGGGAACAAACTGCTTTAGGAAGCGTTTTTGTTTTACATGTAAATTTGTGAATGAATGATCTTTTTTGCTACACTTTCTGTCTGTTCAGCTCAGATGCTGTGTGAGGTTTTCTCTCTCTCTTTTTTCCCTAACCTGATCTGATGTCCGCATTCATCCAGAATGTTTAAGTCTGTTGTCTGTCACTGTCGATCCTATGATTTCTAAACTAAAGTACAAGGACCAGTTTATTAATGTTGGCTTCACCAAAGCAACTCAGAATGGAGATTTCAGATGCTTCAGTGTGTATATGAGGGGAGGTGCTCAGTGATGAGGGATTTAAAATGAATAAATAAATTGGACATAACATTTCTTCTTTGTAAAGAAGATTCCATCCTGATCTTTTTGACTCTAGCGTTCCTGAAAAAGCAGTTCAGAAACAGACTAAATGCTCAGCATGACCTCAGTTGGCACTTAAAAAACTGAGCCAGAGTGAAGATCAGCATACTTCTCATTAAATGTCAAAAGACGTGTTGGTGATGATGGGAGGGGCTGAGAAAAAGAGAGTAGACAAAGAAAGGAGAACAGACTGTTGTTTTTGTTTACTTCAATAGGAAAACTAACAGATTTTATATTCTGTCCATGGTTTGTTTTGCCCTTGTTTGTAAATGAAGGTGTATTTTTTTTAAACAGACAATTTGGCTAAATTTAGGCACAAAAACTACTTGGTATGGGAAAGGTCAACATTTGAGTTAAAATACCTATATACTTATGTATTTTAAGTAATGCAACTTACGTAACTTCACTAAAAACAGCCAGTGTTGACTTTTTGTTTCACACGGGAAACACACACTCATGGGTGAAAGTCCGGTTTCTGGGCCACCCGTCCACCTCCTTACTCGGACCTTTCTGTTATTTATTACACACCTAATGTTCATAAATGACGCTACAGGGTTTCCCCCAGTGCGTTGAACTATGACACTCAGGGGTTTTGACCAGGTGAGACGCTGCATACGCAGAAAATGTATAAACAAATATTCAAATATTTTAAATTAGAATAAAAGACAGAATAACTGCATCAGTTTAAGATGAAAGTTATTGTGCAGAAAAGATAAAGAAACACTCCTTGTCATGTTTCCCTCCCTCCATCTTTTTGTCCCTCCCAGGCTCCCACCTCCACCTCTCCGGTCCCCCCTCCCTCTCCGGTACACCGTCGCTCCCCGATCCCTCGCGCTCGGGTCCAGGACGACGACGACGACACAGTGTCGGAGTCCGTCGACACCACGGTGGTCATCAGGATGACGCCGCGACTTGAAGGAGAGGAGGTGCTCACTGTGGAGGTGACGCCTGGGGAGGGAGAGGAGGACGAGACGAAGACCGGGGAGGAGTGATGTGACAGGAAGCTGCCTCCCTCACAGGACAGATTCTGCTTCCCAGAATGCCTTTCAGCAACCTCCTAATAAGAGATGGTGGAGGTGGAGAGAGAGAACGACTCGTCTCTGTCCTGGTGTACACAAGCGGTTCTCTTCTTCTGTGGTGGATTTTCTCCCAGTTGTCTTCCTCCTGTTTTTGAACACATTTTGAATTTGTGCAGAAAAAAAACAGACCGAAAACACGAATCAGATAAAAAAGCTGAAATCTCTCCAAAATACATATTTTCTCTTCATCTGTGGGAGCTTCTCGTTTGCTTTTCAGGTTTCCCTCAACTGCATCTTTTCTCACGTTAGTTCCTCCCGCTGAAGCCGCGAGGAGAGACGCAGGAGAGCTTAGTCTGTGTTGTTCCCTTAGAACCTGTATTCTGTGATACACCGTCCAAATAATAATATTATTATTATAAGGGCACATGGTTACTACTTCCTCTGCTGTTATTTTTTGTTTTAAAACAGAACAAGTCAGGAGAGCAACAAACATGTGGTCAAATTAAATGCACACTTTACTTATTCCACCATGAACATATACGAACAAAACAAAACAAAACCACAGAAACTCACAGTACCGGCTGCTGCACACGAGAGGATTTTCAAATCTGTTTTAATCTTAAGAACAAACACACCAGACACTTCAGTCCAGTCTCAGGACCGCACATTCTGCATTTACACTAAACGGTTTCAGAGCGGCGGTTCCGGGACTTGGGATCTCACAGAATCTCACGTGATCAAACGTGACTTCACACAGAAACACAGAAGATGGCGTCAGCTGGTCGACCTTGTGTGTGAATCAAACTGTGGAAGAACTCGAGGCTGAGAAGAGGGAATCAGCGGGTTTATACGTTTTATAGAGCAGATCGACAACACGCTGGGGACGCTTCCTCAGCTCGCTCTCATTGGCTGTTACAGGTGTCTCATCAGAGGCTCCCAGATTTTAAGATAATTAAATATTAAAGATGGCGGCGTGGTTTAGCTCATCTGGTAGACAAGGCTGAGTCCTGCAGCTGCACGGGTTCATCTCTTTGCCTCTCTCTCCCTCGTTTCCTGCTTCTACACACTTTCCATCTCTCCAATAGGTAAAATAAATAAATATCAAAGACATTTGAAATCAGGGAGCGTCCGATCCAGTCGACGACCTTCAGATTATTTGTTTAAACCCCTCACGCTAGAGGCTCATTTGTTTCAGGCCGCTCAGAACAAAAATACGTGCTTAGGCGTGACCACCACTCTTGTTCCTTGTGATGCAGCGGATAGAAATTGATCGTAGCGCCTTGCTAACGTAGGTGGATGTACAGCAAGCCGAACATGCAGAACTGAAAGCAGCAACGTGAATCTCTGAGCAGACGAGGAGCTAAACACCAAAAAAACACATCGTTTTGGATCCGTTTAAAAGCAGATAAATGTCTGAACACATGAACACATTCAATAAGTGCCGGGGTGTTTTTGGCACACTGCAGAACATGAGCCATCATATTTACTACGTATTTCAGCGACATGCAGTTTTTTATCATCTTACATTGTGTTTCATGTGATTTATCTGATCTAATGTCTTTTTACAGAACATATTTAAATGGTATATACAGCATGTATTAAGATGTATGATCTTTAAATTAACTGTTGGATAATCATCCATAATGGAAGTCCACTTGGCTGCTCAGACGCTGAATGAGTTTTTTTTTTTTTTTATGAATTTGTTATTTATATCTGAATGTATTGATATTTGGTTTTTAAATTCATAATTTTTATGAACCAGTTTCTAAAGAGAATGTCTCAAAATGTGTAAAAAATAATAGTAGCCTAAATTAATTTATATAATTATAGCTCAAATCACATGTGACTGAATGTAAATGACAATGATAATTAAAATGTGTTTATTGCTGAAAGACAACGGGCTGTTTAAGCTAGCTTTCCCTCATTCAGGTGGTGTCTGGAGTTTTTGGGTTCATTACGAATAAAGGGACGTTGGCTGAACTGTTTGGTGAATAAAGGGTGTTGTACTGGAAAAGAGAGTCATGCGACGTGTTTTAATTTTGATTTACTCGCACTGAAGTTCACACTTGTCTGCATTATTTCCAAATATAATGGAAGCCAGCAGGGGGCGACTTAAACCTGCGTCCTCTCCAGCAGCCAGCAGGGGGCGACTTAAACCTGCGTCCTCTCTAGCAGCCAGCAGGGGGCGACTTAAACCTGCGTCCTCTCTAGCAGCCAGCAGGGGGCGACTTAAACCTGCGTCCTCTCCAGCAGCCAGCAGGGGGCGCCTTAAACCTGCGTCCTCTCCAGCAGCCAGCAGGGGGCGCCTTAAACCTGCGTCCTCTCCAGCAGCCAGCAGGGGGCGCCTTAAACCTGCATTCTCTCCAGCGGCCAGCAGGGGGCGCCTTAAACCTGAGTCCTCTCCAGCAGCCAGCAGGGGGCGCCTTAAACCTGCGTCCTCTCCAGCAGCCAGCAGGGGGCGCCTTAAACCTGCATCCTCTCCAGCGGCCAGCAGGGGGCGCCTTAAACCTGCATCCTCTCCAGCGGCCAGCAGGGGGCGACTTAAACCTGCGTCCTCTCTAGCAGCCAGCAGGGGGCGACTTAAACCTGCGTCCTCTCCAGCAGCCAGCAGGGGGGCGACTTAAACCTGCGTCCTCTCTAGCAGCCAGCAGGGGGCGACTTAAACCTGCGTCCTCTCTAGCAGCCAGCAGGGGGCGACTTAAACCTGCATCCTCTCCAGCAGCCAGCAGAGGGCGACTTAAACCTGCGTCCTCTCTAGCAGCCAGCAGGGGGCGACTTAAACCTGCGTCCTCTCCAGCAGCCAGCAGGGGGCGACTTAAACCTGCGTCCTCTCTAGCAGCCAGCAGGGGTCGACTTAAACCTGCATCCTCTCCAGCAGCCAGCAGAGGGCGACTTAAACCTGCGTCCTCTCTAGCAGCCAGCAGGGGTCGACTTAAACCTGCATCCTCTCCAGCAGCCAGCAGAGGGCGACTTAAACCTGCGTCCTCTCTAGCGGCCAGCAGGGGTCGACTTAAACCTGCGTCCTCTCTAGCAGCCAGCAGGGGGCGACTTAAACCTGCGTCCTCTCTAGCAGCCAGCAGGGGGCGATTTAAACCTGCGTCCTCTCTAGCAGCCAGCAGGGGGCGACTTAAACCTGCGTCCTCTCTAGCAGCCAGCAGGGGGCGACTTAAACCTGCGTCCTCTCTAGCAGCCAGCAGGGGGCGACTTAAACCTGCGTCCTCTCTAGCAGCCAGCAGGGGGCGACTTAAACCTGCGTCCTCTCTAACAGCCAGCAGGGGGCGACTTAAACCTGCGTCCTCTCTAGCAGCCAGCAGGGGGCGACTTAAACCTGCGTCCTCTCTAGCAGCCAGCAGGGGGCGATTTAAACCTGCGTCCTCTCTAGCAGCCAGCAGGGGGCGACTTAAACCTGCGTCCTCTCTAGCAGCCAGCAGGGGGCGACTTAAACCTGCGTCCTCTCTAGCAGCCAGCAGGGGGCGACTTAAACCTGCGTCCTCTCTAGCAGCCAGCAGGGGGCGACTTAAACCTGCGTCCTCTCTAGCAGCCAGCAGGGGGCGACTTAAACCTGCGTCCTCTCTAGCAGCCAGCAGGGGGCGCCTCCAGCGGCTGCAGAAAGAAGTGTGATTGTATAGAAGTCTGTGAGAAAATGTTTCTACTTGTCAGCTGATTTATTCCCTCAGTAAACACTTTCCTGATGAGTTTCTGGTCTCAGTCGCTAGTTTCAAGTCTTCTTCAACACAGCATGATGTTCATTTAGTAAATTATGGTCCCATTTAGAGGAACAGAGACCAGACAAGTACATTTTGTTTAAGCCTGTTTGTCTCTAGCCAAAATTAGCATCCCAGCTAATATCACAGTAATTGTGAATAGAGAGTTCGCTGTCACTTTGTTGTCACTTGCCGTTAACTACCATACAATATTTTTCCGAAATAAGGTCCCATGGTGGTTCACTGGAAAGGGGAGGGACTTAGGGTGTACTCACACTAGGCGAATCGTACCGTGTCCGAGCACGTTTGACCCCCAAAGTCCGGTTCATTTGACCAGTGTGGTCGCAAACAGTGCCCGAGCGCAGAACCCCGACACAAACTCCACTGTGCCGTGAGAGAGAGAGAGCATTTTATTTCACAGAATGACGGTCAATATTGACTTCCAGCGATGTACAGCGCGCTTATCGCACATCCAGCTGTGATCTAACGTTAACAAAGCTCTCCTTATCAGCTACATGCTGGCTAATAACTGTTTTGAGCTGGGTCTCCGACACTGAGAGTTGTGTTGGACAGATTTGTGCAGTGGTGTTCATGAAAGAGAGAGAGACAAAGTGCTGCGCGAGTATATGTGCAGCACTGCAATGACCTACGATTTTAAATAGGACTAGTGCTCGGGAACGGTACAAGGCAACCGGGCCTAGTGAGTACGCCCTTAAGCTCTCTATTACAGATGCATTGTGCTGACCAAGCTAGCTAGCCCCACCCTCTCGTCCAAATACGGTCACGTCTGGTTCCAAACAAAACAAGATGGCGACGGCCAAAATGCCAAACTGGAGGCTTCAGAACAGTAGTCCACAAACCAACGGTTGACATCGCGGCAGCTGCGTCCACTGGTTTACAGGCATTGGATGAGATTCAGGTAACAAGAAATCATGAGAAAAAAACATCTTATTGAATTATGGAAGACTAAAAGAACCTGAAAGAGTAGTCTGGTTGGAAACCGCCACCTTTTTTCCAGGAAAAAGGCCTAAAATAACACAACTAAAATGAATCAGGAATAACTCCTCAACCATCAGGCCTAGGTGCATAATTCTGGTCTCCTTTGAAAGGTTAGACACTAAGGAATATGAATCAAATAAATAAACCCTATTTATTTTGCTATTAAAGAGCAAATGGAGATGCAATAAAGAAAACTATGATATTTTCATCCTCGCGGGTATGAAATGTATATTTTAATAGTAATATCGCCATCAAAGCCAACTCAGGAACATCCTACTGCTGTTAAGTGGGCTCTATCTCAGCGTCTTAAGCAGACATCATTTTGTGCATTGGATGTCTGTGTAACTACAGCGAGTCGGCCAGCAGACGACGATAAAGACCGTCTGTTCCAAAGCAACACTTCTCCTCTCCTGCAGTTTCTGGAGAACCAAATCTCAGAGAGAGCTCAGAGGGATTGAGCAATACTCAGTGTTGTCAACAACTTTTATTGAAACTCATTTTCCCAGAGTCCCAAGCTTCTGCTCACAACACTGCCCATAGGAAAGCAAAATCCAAGATGAGATCTCATAGTTGTTTCCTTCTTTTTTTTCCTGGACACAAATGAGCTGTTTTTAATACCAAAGTGGGACAAAAGGCCTTTTCTCCTGCTTCTCAAACTCAGCTCAGGAGAAACAACCATATAAAATCTAATTTATGTCTGACTCTGATCAAAACAAGAGATCACTAACTGATCTTAAATAAGTCTAGTTTAAGTCTCCTGAACGTTGGACCATGAGATCAGAGAAAGAGCTCAAAGAAAACTCAGCTATGACTCCTGGGACCTCATGATTCTTCTCAGATATGTTTGTTTTCTCATATTGGCCCCAGGAGCAAAAAACTCATCTCTGTCTTACTCTGATCAAAAGATGAGATCTCTACAGGATCTTAAATAAGTGTCATTTCAGTCCAGAATGTGGATCAGAAAAAAGCTCCAAGATATTTCTCGGTTTTGTCTTAGTGACCGAACTTAGGGGTTATTTTACTCAAGTACTTTACTTACGTCAAATGTTGAGGTTGAGTAATTTCTTTTAATGGGGGTTTGTACTTTTACCCCCCACGTAATTTCAAATCCTTTTTGTATTTATTGTTAATTATCTGTTACAAGTTACTGAGAAAAATAAAATAAAATTTGAAAATAATGCACTTTCAAATGTCATGTTTTCCAATTTGTTAAGGTCACAGCCAGCATAACTGGAACAGCCAATACTTTTATATGACGTTTAGAAATTAATTCATCAATGACCGAATGCACGCAAGAACTGAGATACAGTAGTAGTAAGTATTTGTCATACAGAATAAGCACTTTTACTTTTGATACCTAAGTATATTCACTATGGAATACTTTTATACCTTTTACTTGAGTACAGTTGAGGACTGTAATTGTGGATATGGTATTTCTCCTCTTTTAAGTAAAGGAAAATTGTACTCTATTCAAAGACAATCAGTCCTCAATCTCTCTTCACCTCATCCTTTTCTCCTAAGGGGGTTTTAGGAGCAACAATTCAGATGGAAGTGATCTCAAAAATATATACTATTGAGATCTTAGTGTTTTCTCAAGAGTTAAAGAAAAGACCATTCTGAGCAAAAGATTTTTCCTCTGGATGTGGCCTCCGCTAACTGATTATGTTTTAGGAGCAGCTACATGTTTAGTAGTGATGACGATGCAAACCTGTGATTTTCACACTGTTTTATGTGAACGAAACGCTGTGTAAAGTTCTGTTTCTCTGCTCCGTCCGGCTGCGATTGGTCTGCATTTGTTTCCTGTTTCCACTGTGAGCCGCTCGATAACTCAGCCCGACACAAACTGGGCTCTAATGACGTTAATGATTTTACTGCACTGGTTTCCAGGTCATCTCTGTGTGTCAGGGTCGGTTCTGGGTTTTAGGCCTTCATTCTCAGCAGGGTTCATTTAAGGCTCAGATTGATGCAGTGGTGCAGTTTGGAGACCTTAAATCCCCCCATGTCCTCCAGACAGAACTGAGCTGCAGATCAGACAGTGGTGGAAAAGCATTCAAGTCCAGCATTAAAAGACTTATTTAGGTAAAAGCATATAAGTATTATCAGCAAAATGTACTTAAAAATACCTAAAGTAAAAGTACTCACGCAGTTATGTTCCCTGTCAGTGTCTATTACAATGTTTGGTATTTAGGCCGTTGCCATCTTGGGTTTTTCCAACCAGACGTGACCATATTTGGATGAGAGGGCGGAGCTAGTTAGCTTGGTTAGCAAGGTGCATCTGTCATTCACATTTTTTGGAAAATGAGCTGCCGAC